TTCCTGCTGGTGTTGGCATTCCAAAACACATCTTGATAGAATATGTATCCATCTTGTTTTGACACTGAGTATCCTCAAGAACCAAACCTCGAGCTATTAAATCTGTAATTGGTTTTTTCCACTCTCATACTCGTCCGAGTATATCTGATAAACAAGTATGTAAGGAGAAATTAACTTCAGGGTGAAATCTGTGGCCGACTGTACCAATCTCATTAGCACCGACGCAAGAGATACCACTTTTTATTGATAAGGTCTGGGTCCCATTGAAAATTTTCCTTCTCCATCAAGTTCCTAAGACAAATTTCAAAGTTACGGTTCATCCCTTCTGTCTGAACATCTGATGATAAGTACCATGCTAAACTGAATTTAACATCTGAATAACTCCATGCAATCTTCCTGAGATGACACAAAAAAAGCCTTCTTTCTAACATGTTGGTTCTTCCTTAGTAGGGTCAACTCAGGAATGAGTCTATAGATCTGAATAGTCTGAGTTTCTCTCATATGGGGTTGTCATGCCTCTATTGTCAGCTCCTTGAACTCAAGACCGCCTTCGACACTCACCCTGCAATTGGTTGGAGCCTCTCCCATGGGCTCAACTGGAACTATGTGCATCTTTTCCTCCCCAACTGGAAGTTGGTCCTCCTTCTTTGTGTCATCACCGTCTTCAGTGTCTACTGTGTCATTACCTAGTTTTTTAAGAACGCTTTGCTCAGTGAAATAGATCCCCTGGTTGTGCATTAAATCAACATGCCCAAATTTGTGACACTGGCAACACTTCGTGACTGTGATAAATTTAGAGAAACAAATTGTTTTACCTATTCTCTACTCTGAATCAACGTTTTCTCTAATGGGGTTAGCTTGGGTGTGTTGTCCTAGATGTTGTCCTGGGTGTACTTTGACTGTAACATCCAAAGTTTGAACTCTACCTAGAAGATGTGGTGGTTGCTCGAGGATCTGGTCTCTCCCTTTCTGAAGCTAAGGTATGAACATTCTGTCTATAATAAGCTGGTAGGAACTGACACTGTGTATCCCACGTTATATTCGGATTCTTCCGTTCTCACATTCGGCTCTTTAGATCACGTCGAGGGTAATCTCCCCCTTGGTTTCATCTTTAATGTCCTTAAGCCTCCTTTGAAGTTGGCGCATCTCTTGTTGTATTAGACTCGGGCTTGTATCACCTTTGTGGCATAGCTAGGGTTTAGGGTTGGGAGGTGAAAGAGGATAAAAAATAAAAAAAATAAAAAATATGATATAAGGTTGCTAATTTGAAAAATCAACAAGGGGGCATTAGGAAAAGTTTTGGCTATGGTTTGGGAATAGAAAAGAAAATTTTTGGTAGAAGTGGCTTGGGTTGGGGCACATTCTTGGAAGCCCAAGGATAAGACTATGGTCGAACTAGCTCTGATACCAATGGATATTGGAGTTAACACAAATCACAATGGAAAAGACAAATATTATTAATGAAAGCAAATGTTCGGTTAAAGCACCACACTTGAATGGGAAAATACAACATAAGACACCTATAAACCTAAAATAGGACATAGATAGGACACAAATATTCTAATTAGGGTGGATCTCGGGGTGGTGGCATTGATCGCGAGAGTTTTGGCCCTCCGATGATGTTGCAAAGTGTGGGTGAAGGCTGGAAGGCGCGGTGACAAGAAAGGATGTGGACGAAGTCCGCGAAGGGGAGGAGTTGTGGCCAGGGTAGCAAGCCAGAAGGAGTGGAATGGATGGTTGGGTGCCTAGAACAACATAAAACAACAAGAAAATGTTGTTTTCGTGCGGCCGTAGCGAGTTGAAATGTCGGCGGAAGTGACGGGGGGATGCGAGGAACTATGGTACAACAAGAGGACGACTCGCGGCAGTGAGGACAGATGGCTGAATTGGGGAAACTGGGAAAACATCGAAGTGCGGCTATTTGGGGGCGGCTGTAGCTGTGGAGGGCGATCGGGAGCTACGTAGGGAAGATGTGAAAAGGGATAGTGAAGATAAACACCACATCGAGAGAGAGATACAGTCGGTGCCCTCCCAAACGTACAACCCTTGAACAGAGAAACAAACGCCGACAGCTGCCCTAATAGAATTCTGAGCCAAAAACTAAATTTCAAATCTTAATACAACGCATATATAGGAAATGAATGAAAAGAAATGAAGGATAGTAAGAAATAAAGCACAAGAAAGGAAAACAGGATTATTTCGGCTCCACCTGCGATATAGATTTCCTTGACACTGTAGCAATTGTAGTACCACGTCCACGGTAAACTCCTGCTCCATGCACCATTAAGGTATTTAAATAAGATTAAACATAAAAGGATTAACTATAGTTGTGAGAAAAAAAATTGTGTAAAGTAGAGCTAATATCGGATGTAGTCTTTAAGAACAATAAAGGACCCCTGTAGCTGTACTCACATATTTAGGTAAGCCTAATGATGATGAAAATAACCTAACTTTAATGTACATCGTTTTTCCACTTGGTTTTAACATTTATAGCATTATTCTTAATTGTTCTAACTCTAGATTTTAAATCCTATTTATCGGAGAATATAAAATCATGAAAATCATGGTCAATCTATATGTTTTGGTCCCTAGAACCTTGGCAATCTCATTAAATTATTCAAAACGTTTTAGCATGAATTTGCAATTAATCCCCATCTCTAGTTCTTATGTCTAGTTCCATGCATCAAACCATGTTACAATAATAGAAAGATAGGAATTAATTGCAATGCATGAAGTTTAATAATGTTATTTTATCTACTTCAGCCGAGAGATGTAAACGATGAGGAAACATAAAAGGAAGATATTGCTTTTGTTTTTCCAAACTTCATTGATTTAAGCAAATAATATGGACCCATACTCAATAATTTGATTTACAATGAAAATTCTACTTCCATTTTCTCTATTTTTGATATATGTAACTACGTTGCATTTTGAATGTCCTTCAGCCAAGTGATTTGCTTCGTTACTTGTTGAATTTGCAGCATTCTTCAAAAATATGGGAAAATTGATGGCAATGATTATATGACCTCAATATGTGCTCAAGAGACAATACGCCAGCTTGGTTTATACAGGAAAAATTCTTCTAGAATTTATTTGCCTAATGATGATAAATTTTTTATCAGGACCATAAGCAAATCTGAACTGAAGGTACCCCCTCAAGCTTATTGGGTAATGAGAAGCTTGAATATTTATTTTTTAGAAGAATTAATTTGCAGAAGGTACTTATGTAGCATCCTAATCTTTATGTAATTAAAGCAGTTTGGTCTCCTATACATGACTCATGTGTTGCTGAATGACCTAATTGGTTTTATACTATACATGACGCATGGGTTACGGAGTATATATTCAAACACTATCTAACTTTTTTGTAAAGTTATTTTCAACTACATGATATTGATGACTTATTTGCAAAGCATAATAGTTTGTAGCTTCCCAGTATCATGGATATGAATTCACCATTTCTTGCCACACTATTGTATATTTTATTTCTTGAGAGTACGTTATTGCCTTTTAAAAAGTGCAATATTTTAAGGTTGGTCTCCTATCATTCATAGCAATTGTATAATATACATTTTTGTAAGCTTTAAATGTTAGGTATTTCACTTTTTTAAATAGAATTCCATTTCAAAGCATATCCAGGTTTATGATAAATTTTATATGGCTTTTGATAAGTTTGCATCCCAACTTTTCTATTTCTTTCAACAGATTTTTCAAATATTTTTATCTGTGATATGAAGATTCTATGTTAAGATTTGCAACTTTAATGCAAGATGTATTTTAACTTGCCTAATTTTTTGACTTCAAAGTTCAAACTGAGTCACTAATTGTCATGATAGTATTATCAGCATAAACTAGTAGCATTGAGACTTTCTTTGAAGCCATATTTTTCGCAAAAGTATATGGTTTATTTAATCTTTTTTGTTTCTCATGTTGAGTATTTCCTTGGCAAACCTTCCAAACCAACCTCCAAGAGAATTTTTTCAACCCATATAATACTTTTTAACTTTCTGCATAATATATATCCTTTTTATATTTGTATATTTTTTTAATTGTTTATTTTTGTGATTATGAATACAATAAGTAGCCCAACTTCTTGCTTAAAAGAAAGCGCCCAAAGTTTGATTAGACTGATTGCAGTGCCACTTGTTGTTCACAGCTTGGTTCTAGGTTCAAATGCTGCACCAAAAAAAAAAAGAGTGGCAAAATTGGAATCTTAAAGCTGAAATCAAATTTTTGGAAAGGGTCTGATGATGTTTGTGATGAGTATATTAAAATTTTAGTGCTCTTTTTTTATCTTGTTGATGCAGGTTTTCTTAGAGAAGCTGCCAAATTATTATCACCATGTAAGAAAATACAAGAACACTTTGTTATCAAAATTTTATGGGCTTCATGCTCTGAAGCCATCTGGACGGCAGAAGACAGGTCAACCCTTTTCTAAAGTATGTAACCTTTCTATTTCTTAATTCTCCTATGGGTCTTGATGTAAACTTCCCTTTACGTCCTTGTGCTTAGGTCCAATCTCTCCATTTCCAGCTCATGCAAATCTTTGCATGCCTTCTTTTCATTAAAAAGAAAAAATAATTTGTCTGGATCTATCATGATGCGTACAGATTCTAATGCACTTATGGTTAATATAATTCCGTAGATTTTTATGCGGGTGTTGGGTTCATACTTCATCCATGCATTTCTCATTTATGCATGCATGCAAGTTATTCAAAGTTGTAGATGTGTATATTTAATGAATAAGCATGTATGCATGTTGATTAATAATATAAACATGCATGTATGCCTGTTGATTAATAATATAAACATGCGTGCATGTAAACATGATCCTTACAAAACCTTTTTTAATTGATATCATTCCAACGGTCCAGTTAATTTTGATGGAGTTGGCAAATATAATTGATATCGAATTCTGACAAATTTGAAATGAATGTCACACCTTGAGTAGAATTATATAAAAAATTATGTTAAATGGGAACATATCGAGCTATTTGCTCTTTTGGAGTTCTATATATAGATTTTCTTAAGGGAAAATTTACATACATACCATACAGTTTTTATGTATTTATGTATCTAACACCTAAATTTGATATTTACATTTATAACACCTTAGTGTTATAAACATATGCATGAAAATGTGTATTTTCACTTTTTAAAAGTTAGTTTAATGATATTGTTTATATGCTGTTAAATGATTGAGTGTTATGTATGTAAATATGAAAGTTTAGGTGTCATATATGTAAATACTTAAAACTTGTGTGGTATGTATGTAAATACCCCTTGTATTAATTCACTTGTTTTGGCCAGGCATAAGAAGTGTCAATCTCTTCAACATGCTTGAAATGGTATTTCCATTATAACTGTGCATTATGTGTTCTCAACAAGGACTATTTGACAAAAAACAGCACAAACAAATTGCAAGTGTACGATCATCATTTGTTACATTATTTCCTTTTAAAGTTATAGAAAGGCTTTTATCACAGGAATAAGAGTTGGGCCAACAAGAAAAGTTCTAGCTCTTTCTAATGCAGTGTATTTCACAGTAGAACCTGTGACAAGTGATACTGAACTAGTTTAGTTTGTATTATTTAATTAGGCTGTACCAATCCAATATGAAATTAATGATTTTATCAATAAAAAAAATCATTCAGAGCTTAACGCAGAATTTGCATTTAATTTTTTCTTGGAGAAACACTCATCTCGCCAACCGAAATCAATATTTTTTACGTACTTCTCCAATACAGAAGTTGGCCCACAACCTTCTCGTATATTGTGCTCCTCTTATGTATATTGTGCTTCTCTTATGTTTAACGGACCACATAAATGTAAAAGCATTGCTCTTTTTTAAATTTCTCTGGGTGAAGTGCATAACGTTTTTTTCTCAAACAGGTTTATTTTGTTGTTATGGGAAACGTGCTTCACTCAGATCTGTGCATCCATAAGCGTTTTGATCTCAAAGGATTTAACAGGTCTGGTTCAAGCAGAACAGGAGTTGAGGAGAGCAGCACAAATGAGGATGATCTTGACATTTTTTTTCATCTTGATACACCAATAAGAAACATGTTTATATCGTAAGACCCCTTTAATTGCTTCTATGAACTATGTAACCTTTTTATGCTCTTGAATCTTGTTTATTCTTAATTTTAGTTATATCTATTCTATTTTGTCATTTTTATATATGATGTAGTGTTAACGTTTTAGTAAAATTTAGGAAGATTAACATACATAACACTCTTTTCTTATGTATTTACATGCCTAGCATCTATACTTTAACTTTTATATACATGCCACCTTACCCACATTAAAAGGTGTATTTCACTTTTTAAAAGTTAAAATTAGAAGTATTTTTGATGTGATATGAAAGATTTGGGTGGTGTAAATGTAAAAAATGAATTTTAGGAGCTAGATATGTGAGTACATAGGAATTGGGTGGTATGTGTGTAAATGCCCCTAAAATTTTGGATGTTCCAATCCGAACATTATCCAATCCAGGAATATGTATACGCTGGTAGATTGAGCTTTTCTTCGTTATAGCTTTTACCCTCTCGATTATATTTTAACAGCCTGGCTGTGGACTGCTTCACATCAATTCATATAACGTTGTCTTTCGGACATTGTTTTTCCTTGCATTTTTCTTTTACAGGCAAGTCAAACTTGACTGCAACTTCTTGGAAGAAATAGGTGCTACAGATTATAGTCTTTTGCTTGGATTACATCTCCCCTCTACAACACTTGGAGATCCTGCTAAAAGCTCCGTTTATACAGGTTTATGTACTTTTCTTTTTTGCTGCTTTTCTTCCTGGTCAAAAACTTTAAGTAAATTAATTTTCAGCGCATGCATTACACTTGGCATTTCTACAGTCTTTTTTAATCAAATCTCTAAGGAGCTGTCTGGTTACTGATTTAGAGCAGGATTTAACCTAGATTTAAACTAAATTTTGGCAGATGGTTTGTTTGGACAAAATAAAGCCACGGATTTGATAAATCTTTTCAGCTGTAAATCTAGGATTTACTAAATCCCATTGATTGTTCGATTTAGTAAATCCAGGAAAGTGCGCTCACATGGAAAGTAAGATGTGAAGTAAATCTTCCTCAATGGATTCAGATATGAGCTGAGCGAAACAAGGAGAAAGATGGGAATTTTGGGTCTTTATTTGTCGCGATACCATTGTTGCCTTTCTAGCTAACTCTAACCACGACTATATCGCGAGGACTCGGTCATGAAGGCGGTGGATTTGAGAAAAACTGGGATAGGGAAGGGACATAGGCAAGGGCTTATGGCAAAGAGGGAAATGGTCTTTAGGGAAACTGTGAGAGGATGGAGTGATTTAGGCAAGGATTTCAGGCAGAGGGGAGTAGGGGTTTTAAGTTAATTTTATCAATTTAATTGATTAATAATTAATAATTAATAATTATTTTATCAATTTAATTATAATTAGATAAATTTAATTGTAATTATTTAACTGTTAAATAATAAAAAATAGTAATAAAATTTTGTTAGTTAAATTCTAATTAATTAGTAATTGATAAATGTTAAACTATTGCTTAATAAATAGTAAGTTAGTTTAATAAACTTTTTATTAATAATTAATTAATTTATCAATAAAATTAATTATTAATTAGCATAGTTAGAAAAAAAATTAAATTAAAAAAAATTAAACTTACTAATTAGTATCTATTGTAGTAATAAAATAATCAAAGTTTAATTATGTTTCTATATTCTAACAAATATGAAACTTTTAGGCAGTGTTTGGTATCACTTTCTGTTTTTTTGTTTTTGTTTTGTTTAGTCTATTTTATTTTTTATTTTATATTTCTAGAAAATGTGTTTCTTATTGTTATGATTTATTTATTTTTAAAAATAAAAAATATAAAACATATTTGGTTGGATATTTTCTATATTTTTAATTAAATCCTATAATTTTTCAAAAAATATCTATGTAAATAATGACATACTCATATATATAGAAATTATCATAATTTTACAGAAAAAATATCAAACTCGGCACAACAGAGGGTGTTGCATTTTAATTTTAGACTAAAATAACACTTTCTATGTCTGATAATAAAGCAAATGATATTTTAACCCCAAATAAAATAAAGCTAACATTAAATTGATAACATTATAAGATATAAAAAAAAATACAAGCTAATTAGTAAACTCAGTTGTGTGTGGCTCCAAAGTCTTTGGCAACACGGTCTCAAAATAGTGTCATCTACTGCAACTAAGATTGAGAAACATTAACTTCAATAGCACTTTGTGAGGCAGGAGTTGATGTAGATCCTCTTTCTGTGCCAACTATAAAATTTTCATTAAGAAAGAAGTGACGTTTGTTTTAAGTCAAACTTAAATAAATACAACAAACACGTTTGAGCAATTAGAACATAAAACAGAAAACAAGATTTGAATCTCTCATTGCCGATGTGTCGAAGCTCGAACCTTACAAGCTTATCTCCAACAAATCCCCTAAGCATCTAACAAGTCCAAAAAATCACAACAAATGAGTCTTAATCAACAACACTAGAAATGAGTCCCAATGATCTTGTATGCTCAAACAACATCAACCATAACTATAATGGCCTATACAATGGAATGCCTATACAATGGAATTACAATGGAATGGGAGCAACTCTCTTACATTTATTGGGCTAATATCCTCTTGAAATTTCAAATTAATAAATGAGTTCTCACCTCAATAAAAAGATAAAGGACATAACACAATGCTCCGCTGCAACTATTCAAAATTTTCTTGTCTCAATAAGTGCTTAACAACTCGTTTTGATTCCTATCACATCAAAAATATCACTATTTTAGCTGTAGAAAAATGAAATGCACATTTTCATGCATAAGTGATATATACGTAAAAATTAAAGCATGGGTGTTAGATATGTAAAAACATACAAATTGAGTGATTTGTATGTAACTATTCTAATATGCTTGTATGATCCCTCTCGTTGAACTCAAACTATTTCCCAAAAAAAAGGATGAATCAGTTAGCTAGCAGTAAAACATCACTTCAGCGAAGATAATCAGCCATATGAATTCTTGAGCCTCTCCGCCTTCATCTATGTACATGATGTATAGAAATGCTTTAAAAAAATAAAAAAAATATGCAAACATTTTGTAGGAAATTGCTGGAAGATAGATTTGGAAACCCTAAGAATCAAATGCAGCACCTCGTAGCCCATGTCGGTTTTAGGAGGCTAAAATTCACAAAAATAAAATGCCTACTCTAATGAACAAATCTTATGGAGTTGCTTTCCTTCTCGGGCAAGATGAACACTTGAATTCGACCTCCAATGTTGATATTAATTGATCTTTGCTTTCTCCTTCTCTGTAATTAGAATATCTTTCTCCTCTCACTGCTCTTTCACTAAAGGAGCTAACAAGATCCCTCCAACTTCTAATAAAGGCAAACCGAGGGGTTTTCGCGCCATGGCATTTGCTGAAGGATCGCACTTCCCCGCTTAAGTGGCAATGGGAGATTCAAATGCATGTTAGCAGCGTGAAGGAGATGGCCTCTGTCCCCGATGCCGCTGCTCTGTTCACCTTCCATGGCTTCTTTGCTTTACTATTTGGGGCATTTACATACATACCACACAATTCTCTATGGCAAGCCTTCGACACGAAGGCGAGAGTTTCAGGCTGAGAGGGAAGGGGGTTGTGAGGTCGGCTCTATCGCGAGACGGGGCGAGGTGCTGTTTTGGTGTTTTAAAAATAGAAACAAATATGCTTTTTTTACTGTTTTTAGTATTTTAGAAATAAAAGTGTTCTTCCAAAAAATAAAAAACAGAAATAAAACAAAAAAAGATAAGCAAACGCTGTTTTTATGTTTGTTTCCTATTTTTTATTTTCAAAAATAAAAAAAACAAAAAAACAAAAGTAGATCGCAAACAGCCCCTTAAATTTTGACATAAGTTACGAATCAGTTTTACATGATTTACTAGATTTAATTAAATTCACTTTCAAACAATTTTTAGGATTCAACCATTTAAGCATTTATGAAATCCAGATTTACTGGATTTCCTAATAACTTAAATCCGAGTAGCTGCCAAACAGCCCCTAAGTTCTACAGGTAGAATTTGAGCAAATATTTATGTAGTTTTACATTTTGTTTTTGACGAGCCATCTTCTGAAGTTCTTGTTGTCCTTTTAATCTCTCTTTTCTTCAACAACTATCTTCTACTAAACACAGGTAAATGCAGAAAATATGCATGCTTTGGTTATTTCATCTGAAGAATTAAAATACTTTTTGTTCTTGAAGGTTTTGGATAGAGATCAGCCAGAGGTAGTTGTCAGTTCTTATTAAAGAAGTCTTATGCCGTCCAAAGTATATCTGCTTTGTAAAAGCCATGAAATAACAATTTGATTATGTGCTTAGTTGAAGATCAAATAGTCTAACAAATTATAAGTTTTTTTTTTTGAGCTAAAATTAATTCAAGCTGTTTAGTTGGAAGCAAAACAAGTAGTGTTTTGAAATGTAGCAAGTCTAAATTTGATCCAACTTGTTTGGTTGGAAGTAATATTCTTATGAATTTCACATCCACTCTTTGGTTGAGCATAATTCATATCCAATATTCTTAAAAAATATTATCATATCCTTGAAAGCACGGGGACCTATTACCGGCTCATCGGCTAGTAGCCTGCTAGCCATCTGGCACAACCTTTTTACTAAAATTATATTCCTGCTTCATTCTCAGATGATCGAAAGAGTATTTCTTCTCGAGACGGAAGTTTCCTAAGTGAACCAGATGAGGATTTATTGACCACCGATAGTACACAATCCAGCAGCAGTACTGATAAGTAAGTCTTCCTGATGTTTTATGACTTGTCCGAAGTTGGTTTTCCGATCAAGTCTTCACAATATTTTGGTCCAGCTTTGAATCCTTTTTCTCCATGCTGTTTGTGTCAAGTGCTGCATTTGCGATCTTATGCTCATCTCAGGAACTGCTGAATCTTTATTTTTGCCAATTTTTCTCACGATCTGCCCAAATCACTATGAAAATTTTGATAGCATGACAGGTGGACATAATATTTTTTATACTTCACAAAAATACATATGTAACCTGCCATATATAATGTGCATTTACTTTCACCAAAATGGCTAATCTCAAAAAGAGAACTGTCATAATCTACCAAAAAAAGATTATCCATAAAACTTTTTTTCACTGCATATCTTAGAGTTTCCAAATCCTGACTATTTCTAATATTCTGTTAACATATTTAAGATTTTGAATGACTTAATCTCACTCGTAAAACAGACTCACTATCACAAACCTCTACAGTGATTCCTACTCAATATCTTTATTCAATTTAAATGAAAAGAAGAGCATGGGACGAGTTTTCCATTCTGCATGTAATGATAATATAACAATCAGGAGGTTAAAATGGAGATCTGCATGCCCATATATATAAAGTGGTGTTCCAGAATGTGAAGAAAAAAAAGCTAAAATTGTGCCAATGCAACTTTAGCAGGCATCACTGTTTTTTCCTCAATGCAACTTTCCATATTCTCACTCATCATAAAAATGCAATTGAATGAACACGATAATAGAATTCTTGATGAAATTAACCATTTCATAAAAAAATGCGTTGATGGTTAAGAGTTTCTTGGTATAAATAAAATTGATGTACTGATTTTGTTACAGAACACAACCAAAGTTTGGAGTGAAATTGTTGGCACGGGCATTCAGGAAAAATGGAATTGGAAATTTGTCAAACCTTAGAACTTCGAGGAAGGGGAGAACATATAACATCATTTTGTTCCTTGAAATATCAGATATACTACAGTTCTATGGAATGGCTAAGCGTGTGGGGAGTGTCTTCAAATCTGCATCTGGAGGGAATCCTAAAGCTTATTCTGCTCGTTTTCAGGATTTTATCTCCCAAATTTTTCCCGAAAATGATTTCAATGTAAATATTTAAATAATCTTGCTGGTGAAGTTTAAATTTGGAGCATTTACATACATACCATACAATTCTATGTATTTACTTATCTTAACACCTAAACTTTAATATTTACATTCATCTCACTCAATTTTTTAACATTGCTTAAAAAAATACCACTTCTACTAACTTTCAATAGTCAAATGCAGCTTTTTATGCGTAGGTTTATAGTACCAATGTGTTGTAACTGTAAATATCAAATTTTAGGTGCTACATGTAAATCCATAAGAATTATGTGGTATGTATGTAAATTTCCCATTAAGTTTTCATTCAACAGCTCTTTTTTTTTTCTTTTCTAATCATCTCCACTTACGACTGCAAATGTGTCATTTGCACTTGTAACTAGGTAGCGTGAATGATGCTATATTCTTACTTTTTAATCAAGGTGACTTTGCCTTTGCATTTGATTTAATTAAATTTACAGATTAGTGTTATATGGTTATTTTAATTTTACATACTGTGATCTTCACTATTTCATGCAGTTATTTTATTGATTGGATGTTCACAATTCGTTCTATCCTTGGATGTTGAGTTGCTGGGACATTTAAACTTTTTTTATTTGAGCAAGCTTGTGACTTATTGAATGATGTTCTACCTTTGCTCCAGTTTGAATTTGATAAAAATCTTGCTTGTCCTTATTTTTTTTCTTAAATAATAATAAGACATTACTTGGATATTTTGCCCTTATTTTGCTTGAACTAATAATCTAGTTTGAGATTTCCTATCGGCTTTTGCTCCTATAATTATCCCTCTCTGTCATAAAACAGGCACTAAATATTTAATTTCACAACAAAGATTTATTTCTTAGAAGGGAAAAAAAAACTATCATTGCTAGTTTAGAGCTCATAGTCAGGGAAAAGTAATGTGCCTAATTAAAATTTAATAATTTTTTCATCCCAAATTATCATGAACATTGATCTACCAAGTCAATAAAGATAGTCCGCTAAATTTGATTGAAGGATCCTTGTTAATAGTTGCGTGTTATGTTATCTTAGGGAAACTTGTAAATTTGAGTTAGACGTTTACCTAAGGGGATAATTTTAAGTTGGTTAATAAAGCGTTTTGTTCCCTACAAGCATGCTTCACCATTCTAAGAGAGATGAGCTCTCGAATAACTTTCTAGCTTTGGTGATGACTATAATCTATAATTGTCATTTCATGATGAACTATTTAGCCAGAAGATTTTGGTAGTAAGCACAACTTGGTGGTATCATTTTATGATATAATAATCCGGTTAGAGGATATATGCCACATTTTTATTGATAAGAGTTTCAATATTGACTCTTTACGAGCTTAAACCATATTAAATTTTGTATTCATCGCAGGCTAATGTGGACGATGGATATGTTCTTGAAGCTTGAAATGAATTATTTCTCTTGAATATTTAAAATTTTATAATATTTTTAAAAAATATCATATCCTTTTATAATACGTGAGCTAGAAGATAATTTTGATTGAATATTTGTGAGTGTTTTGATAATAAGCTCCCCTCTAGTTTAAGATGCTGATGCATCTTAATCAATGCATGGCTATTTTCTTCTTATGTGATCTTAATTTGCAAGCTTAAATTTTTATGATAAATCCCTTTCGATTATAATGTCTGATAATGATGACCATCGCAAGAATGATTTGTTTGAAGCATGTTTTTATGATTGAATTATAACGTCGTGAACCATTTTCAAAATCATTTTTGGCATGGAAAGTGAGTTTTTGAATTTAAAATGATTGTTTGCTTCTTGTCAAAAATGATTGCACAGTTATCAAAGAGGGAAAAAAATTGAATTTATTTTGTTCTTGGTTTATTCAATAGTTTTTTCTTTTAGATTACATTGACAAATTAATTAGAGCACATACATGCAGGTTTTGTTTCAAAGATTTGAATATAATTTAGAATGTATGCACACCTAGTGCGAATGCATAATTTATAATACATTTGCAATACTTCCCAGTATTCTGAATATGCCTCGATAAACCTATTTATGCAAATGTATTGTTGTTAAAATGCTTTAATTTTTTTTTTTTCATATTGATATTTTTATTGCTTGTATTTTGTCATATATGATCGTAGATCCTATTGTAAATTTGGAATATTAGAGCTTACTACACATTTGATAGTGCCATGTGTTTGTATATGATTCTTGTTTTGTTCAAGTGGATCTTGTATAGAATTTGTTTTGCTTATAAATAAAGAAGCTGGTTATTTCACCTTCATTCAATTCAATGTGTTCAATGGTTCCAAAGTGTCAAGTGTGACATTAAGGCACGCATTTTCTGTCCAGACACCTGACGTATTGATGTTGTTTTACGTGCGACAGAGATTATTCTTCAGTTATTTTCAGATTATTTCTGGGTTATTTTCAATAATCCCGAAATAACCAAAAAATAAAGACCACGGGTTATTTCTGGGTTTTTTCGAGATTATTGAAAATAACCTGAAAATAACTCAGGAATATCCTGCGCCGTACGTAGAGCTACGTCAGGAGTCCACACAGAAAAATTTTTGGACATTAAGATTCTATCTATGCTTGTTAAGAGAATAGATCTAATGTGACAATATACCTAAGAACAATATCTTGACATGAACCGATACTCTTTTCTCAATCAGAGTCTTACACTTTAATAAAATAACACGCATCGATAATATAAGATTGAACAACCATATACGAGTAGGCTACTTAAAATCTTCTATAATTTAACATACATATGAAAAAAATTATAATAGATATTTGATAGGATAATATCATTCAAACTATAAGTTATGCTTTAATTGAATTGAAAAAAACTTCGTGATTTATCTTGTGATATGCCTATCAACTACAATGTTAATATGAAAAATAGTATCAATAATTGGCATATATCAATAGAAATAATAAAAGTAATTGCTTTAGCATGGTGTTGAAATAGATAATATAATAGAAAGTAATAATTCATTATTTTATTTAAAATATTTTATAATTTTTTATAGCACTATTTTTTCTAGTTTATATTTCTCATTTGCCTTTTATATCTTTATTTTCACTTATACGCCCACTTATTCATATATGTTTAAGCATATTATTAAAAAAATAGAGAATTATCTAGATGCATAAGCCCTTATAACTTTATTTGAATGCATATAAAATACAGTCATTCCGCCATGCACTTATATTTTTCCCCTTTTTTTACTTTTCACATGATTTTTAAAGCATAAACATTAAAATATCAATAATTACACCATATATGACCACCATTAACACCATATACAAAGTTTGACAAACATAACTCATAATATATATATATATATATATATATACACACACAAACACAATAAGCTATGTAATACAAGTTAACTAGTGAAAACTAATTTTTATGCTCACAATGACCATTTCTGCACTATATCAAAAGTTATGTAGTAGGTTTACACTTACTGTGTCAATGCGAACAACAATTAATTCTAATCTCTCCGCACTTGATCGCGTGCATACTCCTATCGACACGAAATATAAAAGCTCTACTGATTTCGCAGAGCCATCTGCATATGTAGCCGAAGAACCATCAGTGATATTGAGGTAAGGTACATTGGGAGCAAGACCATCGATAACTTAGAAAATTCTTTATTTAAAATTACAGTTTGTATTATTCTTCTTTGTTGCTGATGGACTTTGAAGTATATTATATTTTTTTTATCTTAGAAATTTTATTGTCATATTACTTAGTTTTATAGAAGGTATGAATAATTTATAAAGTTTATAATTAAAATATTTTACTAATTTTTTTATTAAAATTATTATTACTAGACATACATAATTTGAAATGACATAAACATTTTACAATAGCTAAAATAAATTTATTTAATTTAATTATAATTTTAATAATTTAAATTAAAATTTTAGAAAATTTTTTTTACTTCATTATTTGAAGTTAATATTTAATATTTTAATGCATAACTAGTATTTTATAATGCTAATATGCAATTTGACTAAGTAAATAATTTCAACAATTACTTCTACTAATTTCACTAAGTTAAATGTTAATGCTAACTTTACTAATTTGTACTAATTTTTTGATTAAATTTTTACTGATTACTAATAAATTATTTTATAAATCTTCAGGCAACCTTAAAAATTATTCTAAAATTAAAAAAATAAATAATTTTAATAATATATAACACATATAAAATGAAAATTTGTACATTTTTAGCAATTATTAGATTATAAGTACAATTGAAATAAAAAAAAATTAAAAATATAATTTTATTTTCTTTTTCATAAAAAATAAACTAAATTATTGAAAATGTAAATTACATTTTCTTAAGAATAATAATTAAAATAATTGAAAGCACATAACTTTTTTGCCTTATTTAAAAATGCTATAAAGTGAAATTACAAAATGAATTTATTCTTAATTTTAAATTTAATTCAATATAATCTCCAATTGTCTATTTATATGAATTATATGATTCTATATAAAATATTACCCTAATAATATAAAATTTCATAATTATTTTAATATAAATTAATTAATAAAAAATATTTTCATATCAAACCAATAAATTAAGTTTATCAACATGTAAACTTAAAATTTTGTATTTTAAGGAAAAAAAAAGTTAATTAATAATATAAAGTTTTTAAAAATAGGATGATTAAAAATGCAAATTAATCTTGTGTTTTCTTCAAAATGCAAATTTAATTCGCTTTTTAGGGAAAAAAAGTACATTATTTTTACTATAAATTAAAAATAAAAAGTTAAAGTAAATGAAAATGCAAATTAAATTTAATTAAAAGGCATGCCATTCTGCTATTTTGGCCGACCGTGCTCTCTTGCTCCAGTCATGGCGGTCGCTTTCCGTTGGGTGCTTCAGCTGCACAAGGATGTTCCGAGAGCCGCTCAGTTTTATTCCGAGGGTTTGGGTTTCACCATCGACGTTTGCACTCTCAGATGGGCGGAGCTCAAATCCGGTTCTCTCAAACTTGCTCTCATGCATGCCAATAGGTAAGCAGCGTTTTTCATTCCCGGAAAACTTCTGGAATTTATTTTTTGGGAAGATAATGAACCTGTTGCTTTCAATTTTCAGCTCTTTGTCGACTTACCGCATTTGACGCTGGTTAGGGTTTTCTTTTTACTTGATTCCTTGCATGGATGGTTTTGAAGACAGTGAGGACAGTGAAGCAAGCAGAGAAACAGCTATTGGCTATTGATTCATCATTAATTCATTTGCAGAACTGTATACATCATATATCATATATATAGATAGGAGAGTGTTTTCGATAGAGATAATCTAGGCGGGTAGAGTATCCCCCGAGGTGAGACGAGCATAACTGAAAAGGTACACAAGGAATGTGAGGTATGCAGCGGGTTGTTATTACTCCCCCGCTAGCGGATGGTCGCTAGAGCGGGCCATTAACTTGATTCTAAGTTGTGGAAACCTGTTCTTTTGTAGAGCTTTCATGAGAATATCCGCAGGTTTGTCTGCCGAACTGATGTAGTTGAGCTGAATTTGATGGGAGTCAATGTTTTGTCTTATGAAATGATAATCTATTTAAATGTGTTTGGTCGTCGCATTGGAATTCTGAATTGTTAGCGATGGACATAGCATATATATTATCACAATAGAGTGGTGTAGGGTGAGTGATACTCCAAATTCGGTGTGGAGTGTTCTCAGCCATAGGCCAGTCATGGTCGCTCCCAAAACTCGGTATTCCGTCTCTGTGGAGGACTGAGCAATCGAGCTTTGCTTCTTGAGCTCCGCCAGGAAGAAGCAAATACCCATGGCAGACTTCCCAATGGGCATCTGTATGTGACATCTGTATGTGTCTTGAGTTGGAGATCTCTGGATTGTAACAACCAACCAAATTTTTAATCCCTTTAAGATATTTGTGGAGACGAGCAAGGAGTTAAAAATGATGACCCGTCGAAGCATGCATGAGCTGTAATACCTGATTGAAAATAAAGGAAATGCCAGTCCATGTAATAGTTAGGTGTTGAAGTGACCTGGTTAACTGCTGGTAGAGACTTTTGTTGTGGAATTCTCTGCTGCTTGTTGTGATTGGTGTAGATTTGGTAGGTGGTGGAGTGTTCACTTTAGTGCAATCCTACATTCCAGCATTTTCTCGAATTTGTGAGATGTACCGGGTCTGAGAGAAAAACCAAGAGTTGGGTGATTGCTGAGCTTGATTACCCAAGAAACATGATATTGGTCGAGCTGGATTGTGGTGTTTAGCTTGGTAACCAAGTGAGACATCTCTTCAGGTTCATTACCTGTTATTAACATGTCATCTACATATATAAGAGGAAAGATTGTAGTGTCTTCGTGGGGATATAGAAGCAGAGAAGGATCCGTTTCGCTAATGTTAAAATCATGATCCAAGAAAAAAATATATAGTGTAAAAAAGAATGTCTTGGTGCTTGCTTGAGACTATAGAGAGCTTTTCGAAGAAGACACATTCTTTGGAAACTGCGGATTCGTGAATCCTAGAGGTTGACACATAATATTATCGATGAGGTTTCCATGCAAGAAGGCGTTAGATACATCAAACTAAATTATTTGTCATTTGTTTTGGAGAGCCATAGTCAGGAGAATTCTCATTGTAGGAATTTTCCCCACCAGATTGAATGTCTCACTGTAATTGATACTGAACTCATGTTTGTAGCTTGGGCAACTGATCTTTCCTTGTGTCGAACTATAGTTTCATCGGAATGAAATTTAGTTGTGTATGTCCATCTCGATCCAAGAATGGATGCATCAGGTGGAGGTGGAACAAGTGTCCATATTCCTTGTTTTTTAAGAGCTCAAAATTCCTCCACCATGGTATTTCTCCAATGGATAGTTTAGCTGCTTAAACATAGCTTGTGGGATCCAGTAAGTTTTTGAAATTGGCAAGGTGTGTGGAGGCTCAGGTGGAGGGGGTGAGAGAGTGGGCTGTAGGCCTTGGATTGATGGGTAAGTGTTGAAGGTCATAAGAGGAATTGCATAGTTATAAGTTGTTAAAGTGGGCACCTATGTATTGGGTGTAAGCAATAATGGAGAGGTGTGGGGATTAGGAGGTTGGGTGAGCGGAGGTGGTGCTGTGACAGTGGCATTACAAGGAAAGTGTTTTCTTCAAAATTCACTTGTCAGGAGACACCGATTTTCCTAGTGGACGGATTTTAGCATCTGTAGCCTTTATGTGATGATGAATATCCAATGAAGATGCATTGTGTGGATTGAGGAGCCAGCTTGTGAGGGGTGTATGGTCCAGACCAAGAATAACAAACATACCTAAATACTTTGACATGTGTATACGATGATGATCTCCAATATAATTGTTGGTATGGTTAAAGTTGTTTGTGGTCTTAGTAGGGATTTTATTTATTAAGCATGTGGCTGTTAGGAGTACATCCGCCCATAGGGTATAAAGCAACTTGACTTCATGGAGTAGGGCTCAGGTTGTTTCAATTAGATGGCGATGCTTCTTTTCAATCACTTCGTTTTATTTTTGGGTATGAGGGCAAGATTATTGATGAATAATGCCAATGTTTCTTAAAATGTTGTTTAAGTTGGTGCTAGTATATTCTCCACCACTATCTGCCCTCAAAATATTTAATTTGGTTTTAAAATGTGTTTTAAACACTTATATAAGTGTTCTAATTTTAAGTGGTGCTTCAGATTTAGTAATCATGGAGTATACCCAACAATAGTGAAATGCATCATTAACAATGGAAATGTAATATTTATAACCATAGTTAGTGGTATTTGGGAAAGTACCCATACATAAGAATGAAGAAGTTTAAAATTCTTATATCTATACTTTATACTACGGCCAAATGTTTGCCTATGAAATTTAGTAACAGAACACATAGTACATATCGGTAGTTTGAAAGAGATGTTGAGACGCTGAGCGTTGGAGGTGGCTGATTTTAGGATTAAAGCAGAGAGAGCTAGAATGGAGTTGAACTCTTTGGAGCTAGGTCCTTGGAGGAAAACTTGGTGGGTTTGTGGATCAATAATTGAAAAACCAAAGGATTTAAAGGAGACAATGACCTTGTTATACTTGATCAATTAATGAGTAGATATAAGATTATGGGATAAGGAAGGAGTGTGCCGATTATGAGGTAAGTGGAGCTTACGGCAAGGTGTTGGGAGGAGACCGTCACCCACTTGCTGCACCTGAACAATTTGTCCATTTTCCATTACAATTTGTTCATTGCCACAGAGGTTTAAGTTCCTGCAAGTGCTTGAAGTCTGATGTCAGGTGGGCGGTATCCTCGAAATCCAGAGCTCATACTTTTAGTCGAGACATGAGAGCTTGGGTGAGATTGGTTGGTACACAGTCCATGTTTGTCCTATGCCAACCAACCACATCTGAGTGGCCTATTTTGTTGTATATTTAATAAATAGTATTGGTTTTAGGGTCGACCTTTCAGCTCTCATTCCTTTTTGAGCAGTTGATGTGTTGTTGCATCATTTGCCTCTGTAATAAGAGGTGTTGCATCCTTTGGAAGCAGCGGGAGCTAATTGCGACTCATTCACCACATTGTGCTTGGCGTTTTTGTTGGAAATATTAATCTCATCACCACATAACAACGATTATAAGTCGTCCAAGCTAATCAATTGCAGTTGAGTGGGTATGGCAGACTTGAATGACTGGTAGACTGGCCGTCAACCATTAAGCATGTAGAAAATCACATCTTTCTGATCGACATGAGAGCCGACAACTGTGATTTTGTCCACAAGAGCATTGATTTCGGAGAGAGATTGAATAATTGTGTTGTTCCATTGTTATATGATGTAGCTTGTTTTTCAATTGGATTCCTCTCAATCTATCAGTAGGTTGGAGTCTCCTTTTGATGGTTTTCCAAATCTTGACCAAAGTTTAGAGACGCTGTAAATACGGCAAGACAGTGGAGGAGATAGTAGTGTATAGGACAACCGATAGATTTTGATCTATGTAGATCCAAGTTGAAAACACTGAGGATTGATAACCATTGAATCACTGTTTTCAGTAGCATATTGCCGAGGACATGGTAGAGGGCCATCCAAAAAACCGAGAAAACCATTTGAGGTGACGATTTTAAGAATTTGAGCTCTCCAAATAGATAGTTGTTGGTTGTTAATTGATTTTGAGCCAATTATTTTTTGTGTGAGATCAGAAATTGTAGAGGAGGGGGAACATTGATATTGGGGAGGGTAGAAGAAAGCAAATCGGAAGTTGCTGAATCTTCTATATGATGTAGTGAGGAGGGAAATGCAGTGTGGAAGAAAAATATAGAAAATGCAATAAATAAGAACCTTACTTGAAGATCCCTCTCCCAGGTATCGAGCCTTCCTCTAATACCATGAAGATAGTGAAGCAAGCAGAGAAACAACTATTGGCTATGGATTCATCATTAATTTGTTAGCAACAACTGTATACATCATATATCATTTATATAGATAGGAGAGTGCAGTCTAGAAAGAGAATCTTGTTGGTTAGAATATTCCCTGAGGTGAGACAAGCATAACTGAAAAGGTACAGGGGAATGTGTGGTATGCAACAGGTTTTTATTAGGTTTAGCGCCTGATAAAATAGTAAAATAGAGTTTCTTCATTGTGAAGGCTGGTTATATGCTCTTAGAAACTAGTTTGAAGATTAAGGGCCCGTTTGGGGCAGCTTATTTGGGTGCGGCGGCGTTTTGAAAACGTTGCCGTACCGTTTGGAAAAGGCGTTGGACGCGCGTTATCGTGCCGCATCGAATTATCTCATTTTATTTCGTAATAGGGAAACGACACAGGGGCTTTAGTGCGTTCGGTGTTTGCTATTGGCGTTTAGGGAAATAATTCCTCCTGTGCCCTTGGGTGATCTCTCACGCGCTCTCCCTTGTCCTCTCCCTCATCGATCTCGTCCCTCGCGAACATCGGTTCGATTGTTCCTCTGGTGAGATCTATGTGCTGCTATGCTTTATGGTTCGTTTTATGGCTTGATCCGTGACGAATGTTCGTCTTTCTCACTTTTTTTCAATATTCGGTTGATGCT